ACTATTCAGCTGAAGAGAAAATGTAATACAAATTTGAAGGGAAATGGAAAGAATTATGGAAGGAAAATGGAAAGAAATATGTAATATTGAGTCATTATACAGTGTCAGAAGGAAGAAACCATATTGTCCCTCATATGCAGAATCTAGTCAACAATCTGTGTGTACGGAAACAGTGTACACATGGGCACAGCAGAACATGGAGAGAAGAGAACAAGAAAGGTTACATAGCAGCGTTGAGGTAGGACTGAGTGCAGGTTATGCAGCCTCTGGGGAAATATATTACCATGAGAAAACTCTGAAGATAGGGGGTCACAGTACAGTAAGAGGAATCTTTCTGTGCCTCAAGGATTGTGGTACCAATACAGAAGATTCTGAGAAATTTCTTAACTCAGCTCTGGATACAATATGTCACAAGTCTATCCACTGCCCTGTACTGGAGCCTATATTGAGGCAATAAGAATAGTGCCGGCTGATGAAAAAGGAATGAGATGCCAGGGTCTACCTTTACTTTGGTTAAGGTAAAAATAATTTCAGACTGTCTAACATAACTGCATGAGCAGCTAGCCTAGGCACAGGCTGTAAAAGTAGAAGGTCCTACTCTTTTCAGACCCTGAGAAATTTATAAGCTCCTGATTTTATAGATGCTGTCTAAAGATGTTGTTTTGAATAAGACTGTTTTGTACTTTGCCTTTTCTTTCTTTCCTCTTTCTTTCTTTCCCTTTTCTTTTGATTTTGCCTTTTCATCCTTAACATTTCATGGGGAAATGAAAAGGAGATCCAGGGCTCTGATGCTTGCCAAATGACTTATGTAGTCAACGTGCTATATAAATAGTCTCTCTGATTAACAGAGTGAGCTGCTAAATCCTCAGATATGCATTCATCCTTTTCAGCCCTCCTTGACTCAACAGCTCCTCTTTGGGAACTGAACCACACTAAAGCTGGTCTTCAGCAATGCTCAAAGGACTAAACATCCAACTCCTCAGATGCTTGCTGAGCCAAGTATATTGCTGCTCTACACACAACAGCTACAAGAAGGAAACAACCTAATGTCCTTCCACTGGTAAATGGATAGTGAAAATGTGGTACATATACACTATGGAATGGTATTTATCTGTAAAGAAAATTGAAATCACAGTCTAAATGGACGGGCCTAGAAAAGAGCATATTGAGAGAGGTCACCCAGACCCAGAAAGACAATGCATGATCTCTCTCATAGGCAGTGCCTAGCTCCAAATCTTCAGATGTGCGTCCACAACCTGGAGTGACTGCAGTAACCAGAAAAGTAACAACAAATCACGGTGGGATATGGGGAAGTAATAGAGATGGAGTATCAGGGAACACGTGATCTAAAGTGGGGAATGGAAAATTAGGGGAAGGATCTAATTATGGAGAAGGGATAGACATAAACATAGAAGAAAGGCAAAATAACAGTAAGGATGTCTAAACAGTCATAAGGAACCATACTACCACTGATGTATATTGAGCATTGCATGCTGCGTGCACTCAAAGATGATCCGTAGTCTGTAAGGCTAAGATTTCTTTATTCAGATAAACACCAGCCCAAACGCAAGACAGGTGGTGGCGTGGCATACGCCTTTAATTCTAGCACTCAGGAGGCAGAGACAGGTGGTTCTCTGTGAATTCGAGGTCAGGTTGTCTACAGAGTGAGTGCCAGGACAGGCTCCAAAGCTACACAGAGAACCCCAAGTCAAGAAAAACAACACAAAACAAAGAACCAAAAAACTCTTGAGCTAACTAGAACATGGAAAGACGGCTCACACAGATGGAATGGAACACAATATTTTGAAATCTGCAGTATTTCTGAAAGCGGTTTATATCATTAACTCAAACTTCATGACATTTAAACGTTCCACAATAACCTTGACAGAAATAGTAAAGAGAAACTTAGAATTTATGTTGACACAAATTCCCTGTGCCCAGAACAGCCCCAGGAAAATGTAATGCTTGAGCTATCCCAGTGTGATTCCAGGTCACACCAATGCAATAGAGCATCGGATCTGAAGCCTGCCCAATAGCCACGACCAGGTGAATGTCACTGAAATTACACAAACGTGTGTTGTAGATGAGACAGCCTCTTCGAACGGTGGCATTGGGAAAAGTATCTATTGACATAAAAACATGAACCTAGGTTCAAGTCTCTCCTACCACTCAGAGAATCACAGACCTTCATGAAGGATATGAAACCATGAATCCTGCAGAGCAACACAAAGGGGCAACAGTTAATACAAGAGCAGGAATGGATGAATAGTACTGTGTAAAATAAAAAAAAAAATCCAGGGAAATGGGGATAATCAAAAGTATGAAGAGACAGCCTACACGGCAGATACATTCATTAGCTATGTATTTATAGTAGAATGGATGAAAACCCAGAATAAATAAAAAAATGCAAAGGAAGCAAATGATAATATAATCAATAAATAAGTAAATGGGTTGAACAGACTGTGCTCAGCAGCAGTTTATGGGCCAATATATACACATTTAAAAGCACCACACTGCAGATTACATGATAATATAAATTTAATACACAAGAGATTCCAACTGTGTCTTGTCAGTGTTCATATTCAAGTTGCTTAACAACAACTAATGCATTTTTCACAGTAATTTCTTGAAATGTAAACAGTATTCTATAAGCAAAAGATGTAAACAGACTACAGGATTCAAGAAAAGAAAACTGACATCGGATATTAAAAAATATATTTTCTACAGAAAAAACCATTGCATATGTAAAGATACAAAATACTGAGAAAGAATTTATTTATTTATTTATTTATTTATTTTTGGTTTTGGAGACAGGGTTTCTCTGTGTAGCTGTGGAGCCTGTCCTGGTACTCTCTCTGGAGACCAGGCTGGCCTCGAACTCACAGAGATCTTCCTGCCTCTGCCTCCCAAGTGCTGGGATTAAAGGTGTGCGCCACCAACGTCCGACTTAGAATGACTTTTTAAAAATGCTATGACTATGGAGTACAGTGGAGAGGACTGATGATCATAATTATAATAGTGACAGGAGAATCAAAACAACAGTATCAAAATACAAAGTTAAGAGTAATAGCAAAGGCCAGGCCAAGAACTTCAAGGTTCTTTTCAAAGATGAGAAGACAACCTAGAAGGAGGTCTGTCTTCTCTAAGACTCCAAGCAATTCCCATTACAATCCTATTTGCATATGTTACAGAAGAATCCCAAAAGTACCAAGGAACAGCAAAGAACGAGAAAGTACTAAGAGGATCAAATGTAGAGGTGATCTCACAGTATATTGCAATCACAGCAACGGAAACCACTTGCGATTGTCATGACCACAGACAACAGGAGGTAGGCATGGGGGGACAGTACAGATGGAGTTTAGCAGTCTGTAAATATATTTCCTGATTTCTTATAAAACTATGCTGGTATCATTTTCAGAAATGGTTGGTTACATTAACACCAAAAGGTAGAGAATGTGCTAGACTACCAAAAGCTCCAAGATTCTGAAAACAAGAAAATAAACCTAGAGGTCACAATTTTGATTATTTTATAATACGCTGTATTATAATAATACAAGTCATAGAAATGAAGACCAATTGTAGTGTTATGAAGACATGATAAGTGATGTGTATAAGGACAGTATCGTTCACGTGCACACTCAAATAAAATTTTATATACTTCCAAGTATCAATTCTTCCATAGAACCTGTTCTCACACCTACAATAGAATAGAATAATAGATTCTTCTCAATGGAAGTCTCCAGAATTATTGTCAGTGAAACACAATGTGGCAAAACTGATTTCATGTCCCATTTCCACATTGACTTGAACCCCTTATCACCCCTTCACTAATTTCTCCACCATACCTGCATCCTTAGCTTCTGTCTCCTCTCTCTCCGTCTTCCAGGGCCCTCTGTTCTGCTGCACAGGTGAGCAGGTCTGGGTGATGACTGAGCCCTGCACATGAGAAAGAGATTATTCAGGAAGCACCTGAATTTCTTTCTTGATTTTTTTTTTCCTTTTGGAGCCTAACTTCAGGAAATATCTTTAACTTTTTTCCTTTGTTTTTTTCAGACAAAAGGTTTCTCTTTGTAGCTTTGGAACCTGTCCTGGAACTAGCTCTGTAAACCAGGCTGGCCTCGAACTCACAGAGAGCCTCCTACCTGTCTCCCAAGTGCCGGGACTAAAAGCGTGTGCCATCACTGCCTGGTGCACCTGCATTTCTAAGACAGTATGGTGCTCAGTAGCTGGAGAGGAGTCTACAAATGATTCCTCAGTTGTCACACAGGGTCAGGATACTGAAAATACCTAGAAAGCATTTTCAGCGAGTGTAACTTGAATGCCAATCTCAATCACAGCTCAGTCAAATCTCAGGGCAAAAATGCAACTGAATGATTTGGATGAGAATATCATACAGTAGTGAGGTTCTGAATTTATCACAGACCCAATATGATGGAAACCTCACACCTCTCAAAGGGACAAACATTTGCAGAGTAATTGGCCAAGAAACCCTGAGGAGCAGCAAGGGAGACTGCAAGCAAACATTTCCCCCCAACTGAAACCAGACTGCTTCAACTCTGCAGCATCCAGTCTCTGTACAAACCCCCAGGGTAGGCTCCGGGCATTGCCCCTTCTCCAGGGAGAAGTCCACAGTCACGCCACTGGCTGTCAACAGACCACAGAAGAAAACAGAACAGTTTGAAGAGTTGTGTCGGTGCACACCTTCATTCTTCACACTGGGGAGACAGAGTGGGTTGAACTCTGTGTTTTCTAGTCCAGCCTGGTCTACATGGTGAGTTTGGACCAGACATAGCAACAAAAGGAATTCAGGACTCAAACACAGCAAACACAAGAGCCAAAAAATAACAGTTTGGTCATGGGTCCATAGACAGAGTGCTTTTGTCTATTCACGGAGACAAAAGATTACTCCAACCATTTTTTTCTGATGTAGATGAGTTACTGTAATTATTCAAAAGAGCTTTCTAATATTATTCTATACTACAATACCTTTCCATTTCTTTTTTCCTTTTGTTCCCCCTGAGACAGGGTTCTTTCTGTGTAGATATGACTGTCCTTAAACTGGATCTTAGACCAGACTGGCAAGGATCTCCCAGATGCAATTTTCCTCTGATGCCCAAATGCTGGGATTAAAGGCGTGTGCTACCACCACTATGTGGCTTATAATGCTTTTTCTAACTGTGAAAATACTGT